AAAAAAAAAAAAAAAAAAAAAAAAAAAAAAAAAAAAAAAAAAAAAAACAGTATACCCGGTGAACGCAAATAAAGAATGTGCAAAAGAAATAGGAACGAGATGAAAACTCAGAACCAAACGGTCGTACCAATATGTGTGTGTGATACCATCGATCTTCCTTCTCTCAAATATATTCTTTTTTTTACCTATTTTCTTCTTTTTTTTTTCCTTCCCTCATCGTCTTTTTTTCTTCTTTTTTTTTTGTATTCTTCTATCTCTGTAAATGTACGTTGGTGACATTATTTCTGTTCCAAACGTTCGCCAAGAAAGATAATGTAATGTACTTATTTACACTGTTTTACAGGTACTCGTTATAATGATGATGATCAACCCACCTTATACTCACTCATTCTTTACTGGAGAAAACCTGTTTATTCCTCTGTATCTTTCTTTTTCAGACTAACACATACACGTAAAAGCGAAAAAAAGAGAGGGATAGAGAGAAAGAAAAAAAGATAATACAAAAAAAAAAAGATAGATAAAATCCTCTCCATCGAAGAATGAAAAAAAAAAAAAGAAACGCCGTTACTTCTTTGGGGTTATAAGCAATGTTTGAGCGCTATATAACAACAAAAATAGAAGAACTAATAAAAAAAAAAAAAAAATGCGTGAAGAAAAATCAAAAGAAGAAGTAAAAGATCGGTAGGTAAATAATAGCAGATATCTTACTAGACGCAGACAGTCATCAATTAAACGGCCTAGACATCACTGTACGCCCAATACCCCATAATTCCAGCAATCGTAAAAATCCAACACGTACAGGAGAAATACTTTCCATGTAATCGTGTAAGAGTATGGGATCCAATTCTGCTGTTTCGAGTACCGGCATTGAGAGTGAAATACACTGCGCGAGTGGAGTGACGGCCCGAGTGGAGGCGGCCAGTCCGGGTGCGAGTGGGACAAGACTCGGCAGCATCCGGCGGGCCTGCGCCTGTGAACTGATCCGCAGAGTCGTGTACATGGACCGCGGAATAGCCGAACTGCCAAAGACACGTCGGCTAAACATTCCCTCCTCTCTCTCTCTCTCTCTCTCTTTTTTTTTCCTTTTTCTTCTTTTTTCTTCCTTTACCCCCTTTTGCAAGGTGTACACTCTTCCTTGTGGTTGATTCTATTCCTATTTCCTTCACTATTTTATGTTTGTTTTTGTTTTCAGAGTGAGGTGATTAAAGAAGAAGGAAAAGTAAAGGAGAGTAGAGATACAGAAAACAGTTACAACTATGTTATTTTTCTCTCTCCGTACACATTTATATATATATCTATATATATAATTGCCCTGTCCATGTGGTGAAAAAAAAAAAAAAGACTCGCGTGCACAGAAACACGGCACCCAAAGAGAAGTAAAAAAAAAAAAGAATCAAAACAGAAGAATACAAAACACTACCCGCAATAATGAAATGGATAATAACAAACATAATAACAAGGAGAACAACATAAAAAAAAAAAAAAAAACGGGAAAAAAGTACGTATTACTATGATTATTATCACAATAGTAGTACAGATAAATAATAAAAACAGAATATCATTAAGCTGCTGCACGTCAACCCCAGCAATATATATATATATATATATATATTTTTCCTCTATTCTTTGAAGTACGTTTTTTTTTTTTTTTCAGCGTTTTCAGTTAGTGAAAATCAGGAATCTTTCAATTGAAATTATTCGTTAATGCTTTTTACTAACTCTCGCACCTCTTTAACACGTACACATTCATCTATGGCACGTCGTAATTCTCGTACTGTATGATTGATCTGCAGACGAACATCGTCTGTTAATGAACGTCGCAGTTCTGCTACTTTTTGATCTACTGTTTCCTGATCTTCTTTACGTGTAAGTAATGCAATAACAGAAGCCCAAAAACTTTCAAAACGTGCATCCAGTTGACATTTGGTATACATACTCTGTAGATCATTTCTTTGAGAAAGTAAGACTTGTTTAATTTCCTCTACAGTAACCTCAAACTTTGAGAGGCGTTCCATCACCTCTGTCAAGGTAGTGTTAAAAGGAGAATCTTTAGGAACAACAACAACAGCATCACTATCAATAGAAAATGAATGTTTCTTTTCTTTTTCATCTTTACAAGAAGCAATTTGTTCTTCCAGTTGTTTTATACGCTCCTTACATAAAGAAACGTCCTTATAACCTTCTTTAACATCCGTTTTGCAGGTCAGTAAATCATTTTCTAGAGATTTCAAACGATCCATTAATAGGGAAATGTTTATATTGGATACAGAATTCTCATCGATTTTACGAAGGGAAATAATTGAACTTTCTAACTGTATTAAACGTTCCTTTAAAGCGTCAACAGTTTGAGACAATTTATTGTCTTCATCCAACGGTCTTCTTGTAGATAATTCACTGGTTTGGAATTGATTTAAATTAGTTTCACAAGATTGAATACGAAGTGCAAGAGAACTTAGTGTACTATTAACATTAGTTAAGACATGTTTTTGATCTTTATATAGCTCTTCTTCTAAAGATTTAACACGGTTTTCCACTGAAGATAGTAGTTGATTGATTTCTTTATTATTTTGATAAAGAGATTCAAATTCTGTGTTTTCCATCATAATTTTTTCTCTTTTATCTAATCGAGAAGCAAGTTCTTCTTGTTCTTTACGCATCTGTAACAACATTTCCTCCGTCTCTATGACCCTTCGCAATGGTGCAAGTGTTTCCAAATCATTAGATAATTTATTTAATTTATCATTTGAATTATTGTTCAATGAGGTTAAATTTTTGTTCCAAATATCATTCCATTCTACAGAAGATATTTTTACACAGTCTTTTAAGTCTTTTTCCAATCCTACTATTTCATTACTTATCGTCTCAAGAGCTTCTTCCAGAGATTTTGTGTTTGTTGAGATATTCTGTATAAACTTTTGATTTGACTCAACTTTTTTATCAGTTGCCTCTATTTCATCTTTGATATTCTGTAATTGAGTTAAAATATGTTTAAGTTCATTTCGCATAGTATGATCCTTCTGCTGCTCTTGTTCACCTAGGGAAGTAGTAATTTCAGAAACAGTAGTAAGTTCCCTAGATAATGATCCTACCTTTCTTTCAAGACTTTGAACAAGCGTTTGGAGACTATCTAATCGAACATCCACAGCTTGAATTTGTCGTTGAGTAGATTGAAGTATCTGATTATGTCCAAGCTTTAACCGTAAACCATCAAGATCATCCTCCTCCTCAGGAACTGTAGTTGATGAAATACGTAAATCTTCACGAGGTTCAGTTAATTTAGGTTTGATCTCCAATGATGCCATACGTTTACGTAAAACATCTAATTCAATTAATGCAGGAGATAATTTTCGTTCAACTACTTCAATATAACCCTGATAAGTTTTTGGAATTTCTTTTGTTTGGTTTTCAAAACGTGAAACATCTTGCATCATATTATTTAATTGATTCTCAAATGTACTAAACTTACGTTTTATCTCTTCAATAGATATTGTCATTTCTATAAACTCTGATTTTGATACATAGTCAATCATTCCTTGTATATGATTTAATAAACTATTTACTTGAGTTTCTTTATGAGAATTAAGTGTCAAAATAGATTTTTCTTGATAATTCTTCACTGTATCATTGACAGTGTCAACATCTTCACGTAAAGAATCTAGAGCTCCTTTCATATTCTTAACTTGTTTCATCAATAGTTGCAATGTACCTTCTATATCATCATTATTACTACTCTTTAAAGTAGTTAAACTATGTTCATACTTTTTTTCAAGTTCAATAATTCTTGTTTTGAGATATTTTAGTTCTTCCTCAGTATTTTTTTCTTGATAAGAAATAGAACGTTGAAATTCTTTATGCATTTCTTCTTGTACCATCTTTCCCTTTTCCATAGCAGCATCTATAAGAGTCTCTATTTCTTCTTTCATATTACTTTTCGGTATAAGGCATTTCAAAGTATCTAAGCGTTGACGCATATCATCTATATCAGACTTAGTTGTTGCATTTTCTTCATTTAAGAGGTTAATAAAACCATCTTTTGAATTTTTCAGATCAATAATATCTTCCTTTAACGATTCCATCTCCTTTCGATTCTTTTTTGACTGTTCATCCAGGTTCCTTCTCAGTTCATCACCTAATACATGCTGCATTTCTCGAGTTTCCTCTAATATTGTTTTTAATGAACTATGATCATCACCACGTTGTTGAAAAAATATAGCAAACTTGTCAGTCAATGATTGTAACTTTGCTAAAGTAGCAAACACTGACTCAAAACGATCATCTGAAGAAGTTTCAACTTGTTTTATTGTATTAATAAGATCAGATAACTTTTCACGAAGTCGAACATAGGCTTTAACTTGTTTTTCATCCTTTACTTTATCTTCATGAGTAAACTCTTTTATATCTATCAGACGTTTTTCATGATCATGAATTTGAATTCTTAGATTATCAACTTCCTCTGAGATGGCATCACATAATTGTTGCAAAGCTACATTAAACCGTTCCAGTTCCTTCCTACTCTCCAATACTGTATTATCTTGTTTCTCTGAGAGTAATTGAGTTTCCTTATTTAACTCTCCAAGATCGTTCGATAAACTTTCTAATCCTTTATGTAATAGAGTTTCAAATTCTATCAAACGTTGATTTACCGTTTTTGATAAATTATTACTCTGCAGACGTAATGAACTAAGTGTAGCAATTGTTTGATGTTCTTTTTCTTCAATTTGACGAATACGTTCTCGTGTTTGTTGATTTTCCTCATTTATATGACGCATTTGATCCCGAAGGTTTTCTACAATGTCACGAAAACCAACTTCAGATTCTTGACGTTCCTGCTGTAAAGACAATACAGTCTTTGTTATTTCAAATTCACGTTCCATTTGTTTCGATACAATACCCTTAAGTAGCTTATCATGTTCATGTGTATTCTGTAGCAAACTATCACATGTAATACGATTATTCTGTACTTCATTACTCAATTGACGAAGAAAATTACGTACTACTGGTGGAATATTGAACCATTCTTCGTCATCATTAAGAACGGCATCAAGTACACTAAAATTCATTCACAAAACCACCCAAAAGGGGTAAAACCACTAAATAACTGTCACAAAAAGGGGGATAATAGAAAAGAGAAGGAAAACAAGAAGAAAAAAACAAACCATTACAAATGCAGCATACATCTAGAATAAAACAAGCAACAATAAAAACAACAACAATAATAATAGTAATAACTGCTTGAATTCTTTTTTTTTTTTCCAGGGAATATTTGTCCTAGTTCAGTATTTCTTTCCTTGAAAGAGGCAAAAAATAATAGTAATAATAATAACAAAACGAAGAAAAAAAAAAAAGAAATAACATAAAGAGAACAATATGATTCTCAGCGAAATTGATAACCACTTTCAGTTATCATTTTGATATTGTATTGACGAAAATATTTCATATAATTCCAAAACTCATAAGGATTGATAGCATAATAAACTTGATGATCTCGAACATCAGCAAAGTGAATATTTCTCAATGCTGGTCTTATACGTGCCATATCCATCATAAACTTAAATTTATAGTACCAATCTTGTTTTCGCAATAAGCCAGGGACAAAAACTAAAGAATGTACACCATTAAAATTTTTCACCTTATCCTGAGGACGATCTAAAGGCCTAAATGGAGTTCCAGATCTACCCAATATAGCTGTAACACTTATAGCTACATTTTTGTTTTCCATAATTGTACGAAGGGCAACATAACCCCCACTTCCTTTCCCAAATAAATGTACTTTACCATGTTCCACGTTAAAGTTTTCTGTAACCCAGTCACAAAAACGAGCTACTATAGCTTCAACAGGAACTTGGAAATTATGGCGAAGGTTAATAACTGGACATATAACAACCCAATTTTGTTCAAGCATTAATTCTCTATGAATTGGACGTTCAAAAAAATTTGCGCAAACATCTTCAAAATCTCGTGGAATACCTCTATGATCAGGTAGAACAACCATATAAGGAAATTCACGCTCTTTTGACCATTCAGGGGGTGTAATCATACTATATAGCATTGGTGCAGGTTCTTCATCTACATTAAAAGCACTGTGATCAACACAATTAGCTTTACCTTCTATTAATGAAAGACCTGTACTTTGTGGATATAAAGCACGTAATTCATATTCATTAGGTATACGTGCATTTTTAGGTAATCTTCTAAAAGAAGTTTCATTTGGACGATATTCAACCTCAGGTTGAGGTACTCTTACTATATGTCGACGCTTCCGGTTATCTACTGTATTACTTTCTTCATCTTTCTTTCTTGAACCAATGTAAGGTCCTTCTTGAGAATAAAAATATTGAAGTCGATTCATTTCTGAAGTAAATCTTTCCTTTTCTGAAACAAAGTTCACATCTTCTGATTTTATACCTTTCAAACTATCTTGAACATTTTCCTTATTCAAATTTATTTCATTGATAATTTCAGCTTCACGAATTTCATTCTCCTTTTTAGAGTCCTTTTGAATACTATTTAAATTATCAATTGATGTAGTACCACAATGGCGTTTACTAATAAATAATGAAAGCTCAATACGTACTATTGGGTACAACTTACGATACATCCCTAGAAAAGAAAAAACAAAAACCAAATTAAGACATAATAAAGGAGAAAAAAAAAAAAATATATATGATAAACAAAAATAGGACAACAAAAAGTCGGAGAAAGAAAAGAAAAGAAAAGAAAAGGAGATATGTACTACTACACTCCCTTCCCACAAAAAAAAAAAACAAAAGAAATAAAATAGTTCCTTAATTACCAAGTACCAATAAATCATAAGAAAAACGCTTAAAAAGAGGGAACATATTCAACGTTTACGCACCTAAAGATCGCCCGTGTAAAAGTTAGCAAAATATATATATATATATATATATATATATATATTTAAATAAATAAAGTGAACCACAACAGAATTTAATTAAGCTGCTGTGATTCACTTTGAATGTTTCTCAATTCCATTTAAGAGAATAGGCATCATGACGAACCCCACTCATAATTGGAATCTGTTTTCTCGTTTTTTCAATCATACTTAAATCCAGTTCTGCATCAACATATGTCTCCTTTTCATCAGCAGTAGCCAGTACATTTCCAAGAGGATCAACAATCATAGAGTGTCCCCATGCAATATACTCTGCCTCTGTATCACGAGCAGGTGAACACATGAGAACAAATTGTTGATTATCAACAGCACGCGCCCTAGCAGTAAGTTCCCAATGTAATGGTCCTGTAACCATATTAAACGCACCTGGATAAACCAAAAAAGAAGTTCCTTCGCTTGCATATTTCCAAGCAAGAAGTGGGTATCGTATATCAAAACAGATTGCAACACCAAATTTGATTCCATTACCCATAGAAACAGGAGTTGCTTCATTTCCTGCAGAAAGAACTTCACCTTCATCCATTTTTACAGTATCAGTATTAATACGAAAAAGATGAATCTTTCGATGAACATGTTGTAAATTTCCTTCAGAATCAAAAATCATTGATGAATTAAACAATTTTCCATCAGATTTCTCAGGTATACTACCTGCTATAACCCATATTTTATTCTCTTTTGCAACTTTAGAAATTGCATCAAAAGTAGGGTTTCCAACAGAAAGTTCTTCTGAATACTCTTTGAAATATTTTGTTCCATATGGACAGTTAAAACATTCTGGTAAAACCGCAAGTTTCGAACCCCTTTTAGCCGCATCTATTATCATATTAACGGCTTTTGATATATTGGCTTCTTTTGACCTTCCAACGGCCATTTGACAAAGCGAAACCCGCATCACTGATAATAATAGTTAACCACTATCAAAAAGAAATAAAGATAGAAAAAAAAAAAGAGACAATCAAAAAAGAAAATCCGTACCAAAGGATAAAATATCCCCCGGGACTCAAAAATGAAAGAAAAGATCGCCCACCACAACGGTGGAAATGGGAAAGGAAAGCCGACGACCGGGCAAGACCCCGCCCAACTCCTACCGCACCGGCGCCGGACCACACGCCGGGGCAAGGGGACGGACCCCCTCGACCGCCGGCGGCTGCCCCTGGGGCGCATCCAAAAAAGAAGGGGGGAAGACGCGGGGCCGCCGCCAGAACCCCCGGACGGGAGGGGAAGCGGGGCGGCAATTCGTTTTTTTGTTTTTTTTTTTCTTTGGGGGGCGGCTGCCTTCCCTCCTTTCTTTTCCAGGCGCGCCCGCCCTTCTGCCGCCCCCAGAGAAAGAAACGAATAACTAAAGGGAGGGCCTCCCTTTCCCGAACCTTCCCCCCCTACATCCCCCATGGTTTTGGAAAATACCCCTGCCTCCTGCTTTCGCGGATGGTGTTTTTCTCCGGCCCCGCGGGGGAAGAAGGAACGTGGGCGCCGGGGGGCCATTTTAAATCCCGACCCCCGCTCGCGGCTGCACGAGTTGGGTCCGGTTTGGGCGGGCGACCAAGAAACAAACGGCATAAAAAAAAAAAAAAAAAAAAAAAAGAGAAAGCGAATTTGTTCACCCCGGCCCAATCCGTAACAAAAGCCCCACCGGAAAAACTGCCGTGAGCCGCAAAAGTGGCGGCGGGGAGGAAGGGCTTTTCCCCACGTGGGGTTAGGGGCGTTGGGGGAAGAAAGAAGTGGGGGAAAGCGGGGCATTTCCCCACCCACGGGAAGAACGAAAGAAAGGCGCCAAACACCCCCCTTCCCGAGACAAAAGGGGGGGGTCTCTGTGGTCCTTTCTTTTTTTTTTTCGTTCGGTGGGCGCCGCCGTTCCCAAGTCCTCTCTCCCGTTTCCCTTCTTTGGGGTGGGCGAGGGGCGGCGCTATCATTTTTTTTTTTTTTCCTTTCCCCTTCCTGTTCCCGCCTCAGGGCGGGCAAAAAAAAATCAAACAAATAAGAATACCCTAGCCTTACTCCCTCTTTAAAGAAATAAAACACAAGAGAAAAATATTTTGTTTCCATGATTGTTCAAACAAGTTTTGATGCATTATTTACATATCTCTATCAAATCTTT